TGCTGCTGTACACATCATGGATTAGCTGGTGTGAATTAGTTGACTTTATTTGCAGTAGAGTATACTTTTTCCTTTCTTCAGTTGCATTTAAGGGATTCTCCCTTGCAGTGCTTAGGGAAGATCTTGCCAGATTTGCAAAGCTTGAATTATCAGAGCTCTGATAATGCTAACAACCGCATATCACGTACTTTGTAACTGAAAGGGTTTAAAACCAACCTGCAGTATTGCTTTAAAAAAAAAAGTCTTGGCACCTCATAGCTGAAGTACTTCTTGTCTTGTGATGCAACTTGAAATTTAGTTTTTAATATTAAAATGCCACAAAAATGTCACTGGTGTAGCAGTAAAAATAGATTTTGCATATTGTCTGAAATGTGGAGTATGAGACATAAGCAAGATAGAATTTCTGTGAGCAGGAAAGGAAATATTTTTCTCAGTAGAGAATTGAGTGAAGAACAGAGAGGTCAATTTTAAAACCTTTCATTTTGTGTGATTACAGCTATGCTGCAAATGCCATTTCACTATAAGGGAGGACTTTAAAACATACCTTACTTCTTGATTTGTGCTGCAGGTCAGATTAACTAAAATGGTTATTGTGTCACCCTAGAGATTCCTGCTTGCTGCAAGACCAGACTTTAAACCCTATTTTTATTATTAAAAAGGCCAGCAGCAACAAAGACTATTTTGCAAGTTCTGAGACGTTTTCATAGCAATTTGATCTTTATACACACGTTTTTAGAACTCTACTGCAATTCTTAGCAATGTGAAAATCAGAAAAGGAGAAGGAGCATGAGTGTTCATTTGCCTCTTGCCTGGAGACTGTCCCCTCTCAGTGCCCTCCTTGAGGAATGAATTTTGAACAGAACATGTGTTGGGCTCCTGTGCCGTGGTGGAACAGCAGCATCTTTCAGCAGATGAAGTAGGTCAGGTTGAGGGGAAACCTGCTACTTTGTGGGTCCGATGTATGGCGCGGGTTCCCTCTGCTCCTCTTAAATCGCCATTAAGCACCTCTATCAAGGGAAGAAAATTGTCTGTTTTCAAGATACAAACCTGGGTATGACAGTTCCTATTTGTATCCTATTTTAGTCAGAGACACTAGTATTAGTAAAACTGGCCCCTAGAAGGGAAACAATACTAGATACAGCTTCTCTATGTTATATTTTAATAAAGTATACATACTACTTTCACTGTCTTTCACGCAAGTGATCTTTCTGCCCTAACTTGTGTGCTACAAAACTGTCTGTTAAAGAAAGATTTGATTCAACAAAGTTGCCTTTTGCTCTTTCCTAATCTTGTTTAGGAAAATCCGGCAGTAGTTAGCCAACCAGTATCCTCAGGTATCCCTTGATGTTATCTTGCCTGTCTCCTTATCCTTGCTTTTAACTGCTCACACAATGTTTGGACATTTAATCTCACACTTTTTAATGGAACAAAACTTGATGAAGAGATGATTTTGCTGGCTTCAGCAGAGTAGTTTGGATGCCTGCCCATATCTCTTAATGGGGATCTGTTGAGTCCCTTATGGAGATTGAGTGTTTAAATTCATTTGTCTTAATTATATTCTCAGAAAAATCCCTGAGATGTTGCATTCTAGACAAGACTATGATTTCTCTTTTCTTTTGCTCCAAAACCCTGGTGAGATTCTGCCTGATTTGAAAAATTGTTTGACCAGTTACGAGGTGGAAAATGTATTGGGGAGAGTAGATGATGGTAATGATGTGCGTTTCCGTCATTGTCTTGGGAACTGCATGGTCAGATGCATCAGTTCTGTTTCTAGGAAGCACATCTTCTTCATACTGTCCACCAAGTGTTATCCCATTCTTCGTATCGGTGGGTTTTCTGCCAGCACTACCCTCCAGCAGCAGTGCTCGTTCCTGCAGGGTGTCTGTGTCGACAGCATGCTTTGTCAGCTTGAATTGCATGGGGTAAATGGTGATGGTGCCCAGGCGCTACCCAGTCTTCAGCCAGGCCAGCATTCTAGTACTCCACCAAGAGTACCACCACCCACCCCGTCCCCCTCCACCCTGTGCTGATGCCAACCCAGAGCCCCCTCGGTATTTAGTTCATAGCTGTACCTCTTGTCCTCAGTCTTTACTGTGGCTGCCCATCAACGTCAGCTGTAAAAAGGAGAAGGGGTCTTATGCTGCTTCAAGCCAGTGACCAAAAGTTCAGCAGCCACCCATTTTTGACATGTCTAAATGCAGTGAAGCTGGCTTGTATGTGTTTTGTAGGATTGAGGGGGCAGGGGAGGATATGTTTTCTAATGAATCCCAGGGAAGGAAGCACAGGGTTAGGCTAGTAAAGGCTTTTGTTTTGATTTTTTGTTTTAAGTTTAATGGTTTTAGAAGTCCTTTTCATTTTAAGTGTAATGTTTCTTAGAAGTAAAGCAAATCATCTTTCCCCTTCTGGTTTTCGTTGCCACTGGAGCCTTTTGGAATTTAATCTGCCCCCAGAGGGATGCCATGTGCACGGTATGTTGTAATGCCTCTCCTCATGGCCAGAAGACTGTGGTCTACATGCAACCACTGTGACGACTGAACTACATTGCTAGCAGGAGGGTGTACTTCTGTGGGGATGCTCCATAGCTGCCTGTAAGTGTGGGTGGCTCCAGGTGTTGGAGGCCTGGGCAGCTGGGGCTGGAAGTCAGCACATGCCTCTGCCAAAGAATCTCAGTGTTTTATTGCACCTGATTAATCCAGGGAGTGATGAAGATGTCACATAAAAATAGTTTCTAAGCCTCAGTGTTTCACAGAGTTTGTGAAGTTTCAAGTTACTTTTTCAGATTTAGTCATGTTTCCCCCCCATTCCTGATTGGTTGCAATGGGTTCCTGAATATAAATATACATATGTAAGACTGACATTAAAGGGAAGTTTATCTTAAACATCTTATGCAAGTAGGCCAGCTGGAGGTAATGTCAGACAATTGCAGAACTGTAACTTTCAAGTTTAAAGGACATAAAACCCTACAGTCTCTAAAATATTCTTGAAAGCAATACTATATACTTTGAAAAAGACAAAAAAAAACCCCATTCAGAACTGAAGTAATTCTGATAAATACAGTTATATATACACTGCACACAAAGAACAGTGTGTGTGGGAAGTGAATGATGGTATCTGGCATTGAAGAAGTACTACTACATTTCTGTAAGGAAAAGCCTACATAGTGTGATCAAAGCTGACTTGCAAATGGTGTTGTTTTCATAACTGAATCATTTGTTTCATCTTCCAAAAAAAACCCAAAAAACCCAACTACTCTCAACATATGTATGTCAAAGTCTTGCATTCCCTGATTTCTGTTGAAAAATCTTGAGCATCTCTATAGTTTGAGTCTTACAGGGCAGGATGTCCTTTTAGGAATCTTGCACTGAAATACCATTTTTCTTTAAATAGCCTAGCTGGCTGCAATACCTGATGTGAAGCTGCCAGCATCACTAAAGTAAGAATGAGTCTACTGATCTGAAGTAAAAATAACAGACTTGCCAAAAAAACAAACCAACTGACCTAAACCCCCAAAACCAACCCAAAAAAAACCCCAAACTCTCAACAACAAAAAAAAAAGCTCCCCCCCTGGCCCCTAACCCCATGGTATTTTTTTTATTGTGGATTCTTACTTAAGTAGTAGCAAGTGGGGGAGTAATGCTCTGTAGGTGCTACAAGCTCAGTTCTTAAGCAGCTGAATTCTCTTCTCCAAGTGGGATCTCCGAGAGCTGAAAAGCAAACAAAAACATAGTGTATCGCAAGCTTAGTAAGGAAAATAACTGTACTGACTCAATGAGGAATTCCAAACAAATTTTTTTTTTTTAATGATTTGCGGGGTTGAGGGAATGGAGAAGAGTTGGATGCTTTGCTACCATGATATGGCTGTACTTTCTTTAAAGATGTGGACGTGCACGAATGTAGAGAATTCCCATCCAAACAGATTTTGTAAGTGCCGGGAGTGGGGAGAGCCATGGGCTAAGGAGCTGTTCTAGTTGGATGTTGGATCATTTAAGGATTAACATCAAACCTAGAGGTTTGTGTTTAAGTACAAGCTCAACATGAGTGAACAGAAAAGCTTCCTTGTCTACACAGAGAGAGAGCACTCCCCTCCACTCATGCTCCAAGTTGGGCAGCTGGCGGATCTGAAAGCAGTGTGGTTGCATTAGCAAGGTGGCCCATCCAAACTAGTAAGTCTATTAGCAGTCTTGACTGGGTTGAGCTCCAGAGCAGCTGGCATCTGTAGTTATCAAATAGAATGAAGTAGTATGTACCTTGAAAGGGAGAGAGAAAACTTTTTTAATTCTCTTGACTATGGGTTTCTCTCCCATCCCAAGTCTACCTAAACCAGGTAGAAGTTGTTTCTAAGGATTTCTTTGTGTTGAACAGTTTTTGGAGCTGAGTGAAAATAAATATATGCAGTGTATCTCTAACTTGCTTCAGATATGCCTGAAGATTCAAATACATACTGGGAAACGAAAGAACATCAGTGAACTGGCAGCATCCTGTTCAGTTGGATAATAAGATGTTTCACAATGGCAATATTGAATGCTGGGTTCAGGTAATGCAGCATAAAGAAATTGAGTGTCTTGCTTGTGCAGTCATGAATTGAGATTTTGAATTAAGAATATGCCCAGTTCATAGAACTTGGCGACTTCAACTTTTAACACTAACCTGGCTTCATAAACCAGTTCTGATCAATGTTTTCTGTTAATCAGAAATGGAAAAGCTTATGAGCTGAGGAACTAGCAGCAAGGCTCCTGTTAAGGCTGCAATGATACCACAATGCAGTCTCCATAAAAAGTGTTACTTACACAGTGCTATGTATAGGGCCGTTAGCGTTTCAAGTCTCTAAGTGTGACTGAGTATTGGAATCTGTCAAAAGTGTCCAGAAAGACAGGAAAAGATGCTGTGAAATACGTTCTTTCAGTAGGGACTGCAGAGCTGTCTGAAGGCGCCATAAAGAGAACAAGACCTTTAGGGTACTGTATATCATAATTAATGTAGGTGTTTTCTTTTTAAATTAGATGCAACAATTGGAGTTAGCACAAATGCAACAAAGAGAAGCCAACCTCACAGCTTTGGCAGCCATCGGACCAAGAAAGAAAAGACCATTGGATTCATCAAACGTTGGATCTGGGCTGGAGGTACGGAGATGACTTGCATGTTGTTGTGTCTTCATCCTGAATTACTTTTATCCTTCCCTATAGGAAAGAGT